CCTCTGTGACCCTTGACCTTTGACATACGTGCTCCAAAATCTAATCAGATCGTCTTCCTATGGTGATACATACTATCCTTAAGTTTGAAGTTTAAATCTCAAATGGTTCTTGAGATATCGCGCTAACAAACTCAATACAAGGAATTTCATAAGTTGACCTCTGTGACCTGTGACCTTTGACCTACGTACTCCAAAATCTAATCAGATCGTCTTCCTATGGTGATAAATACTATTCCCGAGTCTTAAGTTTAAATCTTAAATGGTTCTTGAGATATTGTGATAACGGTCAAACGGGACGGACGGACGGACGTACGGACGGACGGACGTACGGACGGACGTACGGACGGACGTACGGACGGACAACCCGAAAACATGATGCCTCCGGCACCACCTTCGGTGGCGGAGGCATAAAAAGGGAAGACTGAGATTACTTTATATGTGGCATACATATTTAGATTTTGCTTTGAATTTTGTGCAGAAGTACAGATATTACGCAATCACACAAAAAAGTGAATTTGTCATGAAGTAATTAAAAAATAGTGGAATAAACATTTTGTACATTGGGTTTTAATCCCAGAAGAATGTCTTTTCTACAAGGTAATGAACTCCAGTCCATATACTTGTGACAAAGGAAACAGTTACCTTACTGCACATAAGTTGTACAATGGGATACCTTAATCTCAAGCTTCCAAAATATAAATCATATAAAAATGGTCCAGTGGCCAAGTTCAAATGTGGACAATGCAGCCCTACAGACAACCAACAACAGTGCTCTCAGTTTTTTGTCATACACCTGTTTAAAAAAAAAATTACATAGTATTTGAGTGTCAAGGAGGATAATTGTTTTGTACAACCAGTGCCCCATTGCATAAAACTTACCAGTGATGGTAGCTTTGAAATTAATGGTAACTTCCATGGGAACCTTGATTTGATTGGCTGTTCAGTGATGTTGCCATGGTAGTTAATATTGATGACAAAGTTATCATCAAATGTAAGTTTTATGCAACCCGACCCTGTTCATTATTCAATGAAACATTGCTTTTACAAATTGAAATTTCTGTATACTGTACATGGACATAGAGCTATCCCTCTTTCTGGACTACTAAACTGGTCTAATTGCAGGATGTTACTTCCTGGTTACAAGTGACAGACTCTGTTTGCTCAACAACCTATTTTCATATTACTCTCCGAAATAACAGATAAGACATCTATCATCAAACATTGAAATGCACTTCATTGTTGTGTTTACGGGGAAGATGCATTCATTATTGAAAGCAGAGTTTCAGGGTATTATATGAAGGGAAGATTGGGAAAGATGAGCCACAAGATGGCGCTCTTCCTAATCAACCAGACTTCTTCTTAGTGTTGTCCCAGCATGCTGATAAGTGTATCGGATACATGTAATTACAAAGACATCTCAATACAATGCTCTCAGCTAGACTTGAATGGATGTATACAGTGATAATAGCATTTGGTGCAGTCAATAGTTTAATGTTTAATTTTATTATTTTTAATGTCATTTCTTCTTAAAATCAACACACACAATCCTTTCCTAATGTAGAATTCGGTAAACATGCAGCCTACAAATCAAGATAAAAAAGTGACAACATTTAAAGAAAAGATTTAGTTCTAGTCAAGTGATCAAATTATGAAAGAACCATCTGGAATCTAATAGGTAAGGTTGAATATGTATTACATAAGAATTATGTATATTGTGAGGGTTCGGAATAATCAAAATGAGACAAAGTTGGCTTATCTTGCTTAAAGTCATTTTCACTGCATACAGAATGTGTATATGGATTACACACACATGTGGGATGAAAGTGTGGCCCAAACTTTTCAGCCATTTCTCATCATAATTTGAAATAAGGGTATTTGAAGAGCCATTCTTTTTAAACTAACACTTAGAAAATAAGACAACTCATGAATGATTTTCACCTTTACTCATCCTTACTTTATGCACCATCGTTGCTGAATACTAACCTCATAAACTTTCTTATGAAACGTAACTGACATGGCAAGAAGCTGGCTTCGTTCATCCAAGGCCACAGCAAACGCCCTCCACTCGCGGTCGATTCGAAGCATGTGTGACCTTATGACCTCCGATGCATAATGATTATTATCAATCAGCTGCGATGCCGCAGAAAGTACTCTATTGATGTGGACATACATGCCCTGTATCGAAAAAAAAACAATTACAGTAATATTCAAAATTGTCTTGCATAACATATTTACAGAGGGTGAAATTTTAACATGGACAAATGTCTTTTAGCGAACCACCATTTCACCCACTATAATGTATCCCCTAAAATCAAACGTAGAGGTGTCATGGTCTCATTTTAAAAAAAAGCATCTGTCTAGGTACATGTCCAATATTTATAGCTAAATTAAAGGACCAGGCCTGTTAATGAAATACTGTGTGTTGTGACAGTGCACTTGTAAATACTTTATCACCCAAGTCATTTGTTTCTTGTACTATCGATGCATGACATGAATACATATTTGTAATATCACTTCCTCAGGCAAGGTGCCTAGTATAGCGCCATCTATTGATATTCACTTGATATTAAACACTCAGAAGTCTACATGAACATGGATCCCCTTTTTGCCAGGGCATCAAGGAGATTTCAGTCTTATTATTGTCATTAAGTCAAGGCAAAGAGTTTTCATGGAATGAAACGGAATGAATTGGAATGGAATGAAGTGGTTACTCCAATAAAAGCTACAAATTCCTGTAGAAGCCTTTGTTCAGACTTGTTTATTTATTATCAACCTCGCTGCAGCCACTGTGACTGATCTGAATTGATTGCAACTACACTTGAATTTGACATTAATCGCACCTGAAGACAGAAAAGTTGAGCGATTGTATTTTTCGGTTGATTGAGGACTTGTGATCAATTTGAATCAATTTTTATTGTTTATAGAACAGGGCTCAGTTACTACCGAGTTACTACTGAGAATTTATTGTCTGTTACCGGGAAGAAGTATTTTCATACAGTTTCTGGTTGAATACATGTGCATCTCATGCGCCCGAATTCACAAAGGAGGTTTAGATTTAACCCATGGTTTAAACCCTCATTTACATAACCCATGGTTTAAAATTAGCACAAAATAAGCTCACCTTGCCCTACGCGCGTCTAATATTGGACCTCTGACTTACAATGTCACGCTTATTTTGTGCTAATTTTAGACTATGGGTTATGTAAATGAAGATTTAAACCATGGGTTAAGTTTAAACCTCCTTTGTGAATTCGAGCCATAGGGTTTGAGGCTAAGGAAATGGTGGTCCAGGGAATGAATCATTCCACAGCCCTGTTTCAGAGAACTTGTAATATCAATAACAAAAACCAGAATTCAGTGACAAATCTCTTCACATCCGAAAAAATCTGATTATTTTGGCACCTGTTATTAGTTTCTGTCATTTAGTATTGATGTTATGTTTTATGAAAGTGAGCCTAGATGTGTCCTTACCATAGACTGTGAAGCGAAGTGGTTGTGTTCATCTGAAAGCTCAGCTGCCATGTCTACTGAATGACCCAGGTCGGTGTGATTGATTAGGAATAAATCTCTGTGGTGTTCTAACCAATCAAATAGCTGTTAGAAAATATAAAGTGAAACAGAAATAAAGTGAAACAGAGATAAAGAGATATGAATGAAGCAGATCCCCAAGTTTACCAATGACTTGCATATCAATACCATTGCAACATGATTTTTAAATACTCATTTATGACTAACTTAAAGAAACTCTGAATTATTAGGGGATGTCAATCGGTCAAGTGGTCATTTCTCTTGTGTTCCTTTAAACCGTGAAGGGGGTGAATAATACCCTTTTCTAACTGCACTCTATCGGAGTCACACCGATGAAAATACCGATTGAATTTTCCTTATGTAAACAAAGGTGAAACCGCAGTATTCCCCCTGTCGGTTTCTAACTGCCGGTGAAATTCACTCGCTGTGGCGAGCCCTCGCCGAAAGTGAAAAATTATTACGTAATTATTAAGCCCGCGCTCCATCTAGCTAACATGCAGCTTGTTCAACCTTAAGTCAACAAACACAGCTGGTTACGGTAAAGCGCGCGTATACTGCGACCTTTGACCATTTTAATCGCTGTTTTAATCGCCCTTTTCTCCCGAACGTTTTCTAACTGCACGTTTCATCGGTGTCACACCGATGGAATGAGAATTTCTCCTGCTCTTGAGCAGGAGAATTTAATCGCCTATTTCTCCTCTGTTGCTTTCTAACTGGCACTTTCATCGGATGCGTCCGGATGCATCCGATGAAAATCGGTGCAGTTAGAAAAGGGTATAAGATGTGAATGTTTGTCTTTTGAATTGTTACATCACTGGTCAGTCTGTAAAGTAAATAATCAGATACGGCTTCAACTGACACATTTCCCAGGGTAATGATTTTTTCACAGAGTCTAACAAAGCATACAACAAACATTCAAAACAAACCCCAAAATATACCTGTCATATGGTTTTGGAAGAAAATTATGGAACAGCCGAGTAATGAGCATAATAAAAGTGAGCCATCAGTTCTGACCTATGCACACAATGTGTCTTTTGCATGTATTAAATGTGATTTCTGGCAACACCGAATGAAAAACAAATTCAGAACAAACTCGCACTAGTTCCTCTTGCAATGGAAAATGATTACGATTACCAGTACTAAACATAAGCTGAGTACACCTACCTTTTTGGCATCTTGTTCAAATAATTTGAGTTGTAGGCACTGTTCTAGTTTGGCTTGTTTGGCTGTCCACAGCTGGTAGAGGTGTTGCCTGGTGTTGGCGACGTTATCGAGGAGTTGAAGGATGCGGGGCGCCACCGCTTGGAAGTCTGCGTTTAGGGAGACCGTAGAGGAGCTGGTGAAGCTACCTCCATACCCACTATCCACGGTGACAGAGTCGCCTCCAAACACACCACATATCCTATATAAGATAGGTGAATGTAGAGAATGAATACAGGAATATTCTAACAATATTTTAAACTAGTCACTTTACTTTACCCAGATTATAATATAGAATCATACATGTTTGGATAAAAGGAAAAAAAATTCTCTTGAAATTGAATAATGGCTCCTGAATCTGGATGGTATCATGAAACTAATTTACTGTGTTTCTTGTTTTCTCATTAAAGAAAAAAATGTTCTGTCATGCAACTCGGGCCAGCCATGGCTGGTCATGGATTGTATGTTTCTTTTCAGCCTATCGCAAGACTGGTTGTGTGATCTGTAAAGGAATAGTTGCAACGAACCTTTATGAACACTTAAAACTTCTGTACGTCTGATTTTGGTCATGGCACTACCTGTAATGTGGCCTTTCTGAGAATGCAATCATCACTTGCAGATAGGTTAAAGACAGTTGTAAGAAGAACCAAAAGACATAGGGCCCATGAGATTGACAGCCCACAAGACCATATGTAGGTCTCATGAACTTTTCCTAATGGTTCAACACTGTTGGTCTGGTGGAAGGTTTGGTCTACCGGGATGTCAAGCTTTAAGAAACCTACTAAATGGTTTATCAAAGTAACAACTTAAAGCCCCTCCAAGTGTTGGGAGTCAAAAATGTGTTCAAATTTGTTGGCAAAAATTAACCTTTATTGGTTTACTGTTGTTCACAGAAAAAGGCTTTAAGCATATAATGTGAATTCTAACGATGGAAATACAAAAAATCCTTAACAGCTACATGTAAAGGTTCATAACTAGGCACTTAGGGAATGAAAGTCCATGTAGTTGAATTGAGTATTCTTCTTCTTCTTCTTTACGTGCCATGTCCTGAGACGTTGGCGACCATGGAATGCCACAACTCTCTGTCCCATATTCTATGAAGTAATTCATTCTCCCCAAGATCAATTCCACTGTCAGCAATCCCACTCCTTAAGCTACTCATCCACAGAATCCTCCTTCTACCCCTACTCTTCTACCTCTCGATTCTTCCAGTCAGTGCAAGATTTTCCAAACCATTCTTTTAAATAACATGACCCAAGAAGCTCAGCTGTCGACCTCTTATATGCAGATTGTCAATTCCGTGAAGTGTCCTGCACATCTGCACATGGGGGGCGTTTCACAAAACTTGTCATCAGTGACAAATGACAGTTTTTGTTATAAGCTACTGGAATCCTTGCTCTTGATTGGTTATCAGCAGATTTGTCACTGATTTTTGTCATTTGTCATTGAAAGAAGGCTTGTGAAATGGGTCCCTGAACCTACCTTCTGAGTACTTTCTGTCCTTCTTGGTTGACAGCCTCCACAGGCATCTGCTGTATGCTGCGTCTTAACATCTCATGATCCTGCAGACATGATTGAGCGCCCTCTATGTCCATGGCGTAGTTCATGCAGTTGAGTTCCTGTGTGATCTGCTCTTGATGCTGCATCATGTCTACGGCTTTACAAATGAAATCCTCCAGAGCCTGTAGAGAATAGAGATTTATTTATTATTTACAGTTTTATTTAATAATAATAATACATAAGATTTATAGAGCGCCAAATCCACTCAAATGCTCAAGGCGCAGCTTGTGCAAAAGATGAAATACAGGATACAAATATACAAAGTGCAATAGGGAAGGTACAGACATGAAAGGTAATGGTAATCAATTATAAGCTAAATTAAACAGATATTTCTTCAGCAGAACTGCTATTCTTAATATATTGAGGGAGAGTATTCCATAATGAAGGCCCAGCATGAGCGAAGGTTCGCTCCCCCACTTTGTTTTAACTCTAGGAGTAACAAGTAAGCCAGAGTTTTGAGAACGTAGCTGTCTAGAGGGAAAGTAATGCTTAATCAAGCCGATGTTGTACTGTGGAGCAGAGCCATGTATACAGTGAAATAATAGCAAAATAATCTTGAAAACAACACGTTCTTCTATGGGCAACCAATGGAGTGATTTGAGGACTGGTGTGAAGCAGGGGTTGCCTCTTTTAATAAACTGCTATCCCTGAGGGCCCTGCACAATAAAAACAATGTATATATGAAATATTTACGTACTTAATAACTACAAATTGAACACATAAATAACATAAGAAACAAAGGTTGTGAAAACAAAGATAAGAAGAGATATTATGAATACAATATTGCAAAGTATAACTAATTATAAACATATGGTGCGATTAAAACATCCAATTGATAAATTATCAAATTGTCCAAGTACTGATTACTGCCGTTGAATGGAAAATGAGGTGATAAATAGGAGGATGTTGAGTGGGGATACATTGAGGGAGAGTAAAGAAAGATGGTAAAGAGAGAGTTGGAGAGAAAGATAGAAAAAAGAAAGAGAGAGAGGGGGAGGGAGAAGATTGAACATAGATTCTGATGAGAAACAAGTTTAGTAAAAGGTACAAAGCATCCTATAGAAAATTTGTTTATAATGATGGAAGGTTTGAAGGTTTCTAAATTCATGCGTAACTTTACGAACAGCTTTGTGAAACATCCCCCTGGTCCATGTTAAACAACCCACGCGGGAAGGCCTTTCATTTAAGTGCGAGGTGCAGCTGAATGTGTAAGATCATTAATGTTAATTAAAAAACAGTAGAGGACCTACATGTAGGATAGAACCTTGTGGTACGTCGTGTAATAGAAGAAAAATTGGAGGAATTATTATTATAAACTACATATTGAGATCTATCAGAAAGATTACTTTCAAACCAAGATGACAAAAAAACTTGAGTGTTGTTCTAGTTTCCGAGTGGTGAGTCAACACACCGATTACTGAGCTGGGAGACATTGCCAGGCATAGCGCCAGGTGGAGGTGCATAAATCGAAACTTACATTTTTTAAAATATTTTTTTGTGTGTGTACCATGTATAAGACGCACCCCCTACTTTGAATTTTTTTCGGCGGCAAAAAAGTGCAGTTAATACATTGTTAATTACGGTAATTGATTTTTTTTTGCTTTTGAATATATTTAATTAAAGGCTACAAATGGTTCTCCATAACTTTTAAGTCCAACTTAGGATCTTTGTGAAACACCCCCCCCCCCCTTCCCCCTAGTCTGCAAGCACAAACCCTGGTCAGTCATAAAAGTGAGTCTGCACTATTAGACTACCATAGGCCATGTACTGTAGCTGCTCCTGACACAACCAGTAGGTAGCTGGGCTAGGCTTCTCTCAAGGCACTATGATTTTTTGATAAAGTGTCAAATTAGGGTCTGTGCTTGCAGACTACCCTCCCCCCAGGATGGATAAAAGACTTTGTTGAACAGAAGAAACTGCCTGGAATCACCGAAATGCAGACAGACTTTGAAGATTGATATTTACCAGTCTAAGTTGAAGCCATTCTTCATGATCATAGTGCATAGTACCTTCCATATCAACGGTCAGCTGTGCTGGGTCAACCATCTTCACTAGATTCTCCGACGATATCATCGCCGTCTGAAAAATTGAATTAAAACATGATGAAAATAAATAGAATCCAGCGTGTTTAAGCATGAAGAAATATGCTACTGTAATACACTATATCAAAATTTGTTAATGCTCTTATAGCGATTATGACTATATCATCGTTGTCTGAAAATGTTGAATTATAACAAGATGAAAATGAATAGAATCCTGTGTGTTCAAGCATGAAGAAATATTCAACTGTATTACACTATATCAAAAATTGTTAATGCTCTATATATAGCGATTATGACTTTATCATCATTGTCTGAAAAAATTGAATTAAAACATGATGAAAATGAATAGAATCCAGCATGAAGAAATATTCAACTGTATTTCAATATAGCAACATTTGTTAACCCTCTATATATAGTGATTATGACTTCTTTCTTTAATTTCAAAATAAATCTTTAAAGGATATAAATACAGCTTTTGTGTTGTCTAAATGTTTTGCAGGATCTAATGTAATTTGCACAACAACAACAAACATCTAAAATAATTGAGGTAAGTCATTATTTCGAGGGACAAGAAAATGAATGTAGCTTAGATTGAGAGATTTTGTATTAATACCAAGGCTTATGGTTTCTATGCATTTAAGATTAGTTTTGAATTTTGTTATTTACATAAAGCTCTGTGGTTGTTTCTACTTGTTTACAGAAAATCTATCATTTTGTCAATCTAGTAGAAACTGATATGAGGAGGGAAAATCATGATCTTGTATTTTTCCACCGATATACTTAAAGAAAAATATAAGTATCTAACAGCCTTTATGTCTGTGGTTCACTTGGATGGCAGTTCGTGAGTATACAAAGCATCTAAACGTAGCACAATTCTGTTTACAGTAGAAATGCATCGCTCTTTAGTTGCCTACACATTCCATGTTTCATTGATGCCGTTCATTTATGAGCAAACATCAGTTAGAATCAACATTAACAAGAATGGATTATTTGCACACTCATGATAATAAAATAAATAACCCAAGTACAATTCCACACCAAAACAACAAGGCCACCCAATTATAGACCCCTGCAATGTTTGTTTTATATTGTCATGACTATATGCAATGGTGTAATAATGAGAATGAGTGGGCGCGACCCACAAATCATATCACTTCATCAAGTCTAGAGAATTCTGCATTACCTCATAAAAAAGTGAAACAAGCCAGGGTAAATGGACCCATGTGCTTCTTGCGATTCATCTTTAATTTTAGTTTTGTCAAAAAGCAATCTCCTCCTTTTCAAATCTAATTGTAGGATATTCCTACTGCCATAGTAAATAGGTTTGCATATTCATGTGGAACGTTTGTGAAGGCTTCTGACTCTCATACGAGAGGGCCTGGGTTTTAATGATCCTGGCTCAGAGCTCACATCCTTAAACAAGGGGTTTTCCCTTTTTGTTGTTTTCTTAAACCAATTTTATCAAATGGATACCTGGCGATGCTAGGATATTAATAATTGCAATTCTTTAAGGTAGAACAGTATTACTACTGATGAGGCTGTTGCATATACATAGATGTAAGGGATGTTGTGGTCTAGTCGATAAGTCTTCTGACTGTGACCCACAAGGTAGGGGGTTCAAATCCCTGTCACAGCACCAATTGTCCTTTGGCAAGCCAATAATCTACATTTGCCGCACTCCATCCAGGTGAAAAAAATGGGTACTTGGTGGGAATTAGTTTCTTAGAATGCTTGAGTGCTGTAATGACAGTTGTGTTAAAGCCAGGGTAATGACAATGGAGCGCCAGGAGTGGCAATGTGCCAGACATGAGCACTATACAAGACTATTATAAATGTTATCACGACCACACTATTATCTTTTTAAAATGATTTGCAATGATATAAATCCCTTTTGGGGGGGGGGGGGGGATTTGAACCAGGGCTGTTTTATCCACTCTTCAGTGGTGTTTGACCACAGGGTCATGAACTGTACCTCAAACTTGAGCTTGGAGCTGCCCATGCTGGTGCGTTGCTTCTGCCAGAACTTCTCTGGTTTGATGATGTATACCATGTGAATGTTGTCTGGTACACATTCCTGATAAAAAAAGAATAATAAAATGTTAAAACAGCAAATATCTCTACGATGCATCATTCACTGCCATCTAGAGGACTCTGTGTGTAATACATATTTGATTGCACTTTCTAACTAACTATATACAGAACATTTTTTCTTAGGACAAATCCACACCACCAAATATTACATGGCGACAACAAAGCCACTGATTGTTACTTTTTCTGAATTTCTTTTTGTCAAGTAGCTTTCCTTCACCTTATCTAGTTTTCTCAAAATCCTCTACAAGTTCCTGATATTCTGTCATTTCTTTTTTCAATTATCTTTTTCACTCCATGCCCTTCTTTTGATTTCATATCATTCTATTTGTTCGAGAAAACATTAAATCACAGAATACTGATTAAAGTGTGATTGCCTTTCAAGTGTCAAGTGAGGAAGCTCTTGATTGAAAAGAAAATTAGTGTTTAGATGATTGGAAAGGCATCCAAAGTGAATTCTTCCATTGACTAACGCATCAACTGAACAGGTACCTATCGCATCGTCTTTCTGAGGACCAGAGGCAGGCCTATGTTAATTCCTATCAATATAAGCAAAGAATTAATGCCCTTCCAGATCTCAACTGATAAAATGCAGTTTTTATTTGTTTTATAATACTGTGGAGTAAGAAAAAAATCTTTAGATTCACCATTTTGAAAACACTTATTAAAGCCCCACTGTACTACTTGTAGCTACTTGCTCCCTCTTTATAGAAATTTCCCCAATCGGTGCCTGTTGGTCCCCCATGATCCTCTTTTTCTCATGTTAATTGTGAGCTGAGTTGGTGAGATAACCACCGGTCAGTGACCTTGCTGGTTGGTCTAATCCCTTCTGGCCAAACTATTACAGACAGCCTTTAAAGTCTTCATAAATCCAATCAATTCTAAAAACAAACTCTTGAAATATATTTTGAACATAAATGTCATTCAAATCAGAGAAATATGTCTGTTTATTTGTTCTCCATCTGTATTATCTCTTTCTCCATATTCGTTGTTGTTTATCTCACCTGTAACGCTTTGAGTACAGGTTTGATGTTCGTCCATGTTGAGCCTCTCATGTCAATGATCACAGTGAATCCAAGATCTCGAGCCTCATCACTAACAACAAAAAACAAAGAAAGCAGACATTTTAGAAATGAATTTCCATAAATCATAGTCATGGAAGTCTACGTAGTTATTATCATGTTTATTTTCATGTTATCATGAAATTACCTGGAAATAGTCAAACAGACATACATAAATCAGTGGATTTCTTGAGAAAAAAAGGAACATACACTTATAAATTCTACTAGAAATGATATGACAGTACAGTAATAAAACTGTGTGTGAAAATTATAGATACTTTGATATCTGTAATAACTCTGCTTTGTGGGTATATGATTAGGATTGTACACATTCATTTCAAAAAAGGAAAACAAGAGAATGAATTTAGATTTCAAGGGGGAAGTGCACTCTGGCATTAGGTTGGTTTTAATCGAAGTAGAAAAGTTAGAGGAAAAGGTTTGTGAAATACTTAGGGTGCATCTATGATTGTAAATTTCTTTAGGGAAAATAGACATTTCTAATTTTGTTTGTAAAGAACTAACGGGAGGGAACCTTGCAAGGTACATCACAGAGTTGCCAATATTTGTCTGAAATATCGCAATTCTCAATATACATAACTTCTTTATTTTAATCAGATTTTGCTCAAACTTTCACTGACCTGTTCCTCTCATTTTTTTTTTTACTTCTAATGAAACAAACTTAATATTAGGGTGAATTTCCCCTTTAAAGTTGTCAACAATGCTCTAGGAAGATTATCATTTTTGCATCAGCTCAGACTAAAGATATCAATATATTGATTGGCATATCAAAATGGGTAATATCATGTAGTATACAAAAAATAGAACCATGATTTCTATACATACATTTATGTGCGTAATACAATACAATCGCCCATCATATTCACGTGTGCATAAAGCCGATGGCTTGAGCATGTAGGACTCATGTCCTACCAGGTACCCTTTTCATTGGGGGTATTATGGTTGTCAATTTAGAAATATTCAGGCTTGCTGGTACTCTGCAGGTACAAATCAAATTTGATTTATTTTCCTGCACTGGCGATACCATGCAAAGTGATGTGTATATCATCATGTTATGACTTTATACATAAGCATGGAAGATTGATGGAACAACATGAAATGTTGGCCAAAAGACGGCAATATTCAGCAGAGTGACAGGGTTTCATAGGGTGGTGTACGTGCAAAAAATCTGCACCGAAATATAAATCATTATTCAATGTTCAACCTCTTCATTCTCTTTGTTATAAATTCTATACTGTTTAAAATAAATCTTCAATTATCTTTTTAAAAAATATACTTAGACATACTTCTTTCACTGCATACCAGTATATTTCTCAATCTTCCTATCTGTTGTCGTATTCTATATCCTCTATTTAGACCTTAATGTAAACTGTAATTTCATCAACTTTTAAATGTTCTTACTTAACTCCAAAGCACCCTCCCCCTGCCCCTTGACAGGTATCTCCATGCCCCTCCCCCCTCTCTCTCTCTCTATCTCCATCTCTCTTCCACCCCCCCCCCCCACTCTCTACTCCGTCTCTCTCTCTCTTTCTCTCTCTCTCTCTCTCTCTCTCTCTCTTCCATTCTTCCACTCTCTCCCACTCTCTCCCTCTACCCATCTCTGTATCTCAGCACGAGTACCTGTAACAGGATCTATGTACCCTAGCAAGCCGAGCAAGCAAGCCAGCACGACATGCCATCTATGATAGAGAGAACAGTATGAAATCATATCTCTCTAACAAAACAGATGCACCCTGTCAAATACTGCGTTCCCACATACCATCTTTCAATGGGTATGAGAATCACAATCTTCTTCATCATCAGCACATGCACATCTCTCTCATTCTTGTCAGAGATTTATTGTGTGAATGTAAGATGGGTGTGAACAAGAGCCAATTTCATTCATAACTCTGAGATCTTCGCTGAGACGAAGACGTTTCAGATTTCATAGAGTGCTTCAGGACGAAGCGTGTGTTGTTTCATGTCAAAGTCATTCTACCAACTAATAACTGCTCTGTACATGTAGTTTGCCCAAAGTGTAGGACCAAATGTAGTTGGCCTAAACTTTAACATAGGCCTAAATTTGTACTATTCATCAATTCAAGCAATAATATTCATCATTTATAGAACTTTATTTCATGCTCCTCACTTTCCTTGACTCATGTTCAATTGATAACTGACATGAAAGCAGCCAAGCTTCTAGTAAAATATCACATTTTATTCCACCCGAAAAGTAGATTCTTAAGAATCTGAAAAATCACTCTCTTCTCTTATTCTAAAAAGAAATCCCTGATTTAGTTGAAAAAGGGAATGAATGGATGAATGAAACATATCATTAATATCATTAATGCATAATACAAAAATTAATAGGAGGAAAAACGAAAACAATATAGGAAACTTGGAAACCACAAAACTGTAACATTATTTCATTATTTAAAGTTCCTTATAAAATATGTTAATGAAAACATCCTTTTCTTAATCAAAACTAATTTCCTCATCTTAATAATCAATTTCCTCATATAATATAAACATCTCATTATTACGAGAGACCCAGATATCATTTCCATCTTCAAGTATTACCTCACACAGATTTTCTTTAGCGCTCATCTATACACAATAGATGACTGAAATTGCATGGTGCGGGTGTTTGGTGTGACAAGTTTGTGGGGAAAATTTGCAAATTTAACAGCTTTGTCACCAAAACACACAAAATTGATAGTTATTTTAAATCGTCCCTTTCTTTTTTCTTTTCAATTTTTTTGCTTGTTGGTGAATGTTATTTCATATAATTATCTCTGATTTTTGTATCCATCCCATTGACAATTGTCCAACAATACTCCTGATTAAAATAATGTATACATGTAGATTGAGAAGTATGCAAGATGCAACATGGAGTCACTATGCCTTCAGAAATTGGCGAATTATTCTCTGCACGTCCCACAAAACCAATAACGTTGGTCGTTATGATTAGGCCACATCAAATCATTACTTGTTTCTTGTCTAGATGGACTCCTATAATGGGGGAGTGGGTGCCATATATCATCAACCATTATTGTATGGAGGGTTATCTGTTTAATGGCATTCATAATTCAGAGACTTGTTTATAACTCTCTTATACTCTTTTCACACTGGTTTTGCTCAACCCCGTACTTTGCTTAGCCCCGTACTGTTTTTTTTTGGCTTTTCACACACGCTATTTTTAGTCCCGTACTAGCTTCTATTCCGGAATAAGAAAATTCACGCTGTTCTCACTGCAATTCATTAACCCCGGATACCATGAATGTTATGATTAGACATACTTCGCATCTGGCCAGCTGCGATACGCTCCATTGTGTAGTACCGTACTATTTTTCGTTTCTGTTCTCACTCATTTGCTTGGCACCGCAATTGCGGGGTTAGCAGGAGTTAGCACCACAATTGCGGAGTTTGCCCTGCTATTTTGCAGGGTTAGTTAACCCCGTACTATAGGTGGGGTTAGCCAACTTTAGCCCACTTTGGTAAACGCCAGTCTGAACAGAAAGTGGAATAGGCTTAACCCCGTACTATAGGTGGGGCTAAGACCACCCCCCCCCCCCTTAACCCCACCTATAGTACAGGGTTAAGCAAAATATTGCCAGTGTGAAAACAGTATTAGTCCAAAACACATTTTTATAATAAGCATGTAAAATACAGAAGAATGCATCTGGTAAATAAAAAGGGAGGGGGGAGCGGGAGAAATAGGAAAACAAACCAATCATTGAGAAGAGGCCAAGACTTACGAGTCAGTCAATTTTTATCCTTTTTCATGCAATGTACAAAGCATAAATAATGTATTCACAAAGAATGGTATGGTAGTACCTCAAATTAATAGGTAGGAGAAACGTGATGCTTTTGATAATGACAGACCGTCAATATTACCACAAAGCAGTTTGTATGCAGTACAGGTCATGTATGACAAACAAAATCAAGAACCAAACATCATATGAATACTAATTTCTATCTGCGAAAGAAAAGGCAGATTTGTTTATTAGCTTCTTATATCAAATCACAATGATTTAAACCTACAAACAAATTATGAGTTGCATGGCATGACATGTACAGCATTTCTTTTAAATTGCTTCTCTCTACCCAGGTTAAGAAATGGGTACTAGTATGCAGCACATCAATGCAGTTTAGAATTGGATTAGCATGTGTTGCCTATGTAGAATGGCTACATGTAGAATGCTCCAAGTTAAATGTAAACAACTGGGGAATGCCTAAAATTAAAAGGGGGCCCATGCAGACAGACCTCAACATTGCAATCCAGACTCCCTGTGAGAGACAGTATGGAGTATGGAATCCTGTTTTAATGCATAGTACAACAGCAGGGCTTAATCGCACATTTCTTCAAGAGGGGAATCAAAATGAACCTGTGGTTTAGATGTAAATGATGGGTTTTTATCAATCTAACCTGCCAAGCATAGGATATCCATTACCACAGACAGCAAGAAAGACATAATTCCGTGTTAATGATATAGGTTAACACCCTTCTGGCTCTCAGCAGATGTATTATTCCCTATCAGTGAATGGATCGGAAAGCCTTAACAAAGTGGTCGGTGATTCTTCATCCAAACCCCCATAATACCCTATTGTAACTCATTCTCTCCATAAAGCACATCTCTTTCATGGCAAATCAACAGCATATTTACCATCCTTAGAAAAAGGTCCCTCTCAAAAGCGTTCATAAAAACATCAACCGCAATTCAGCAGCAACGGAAAGCTCAGCTTCCAAGGCTTCCAAGGCTTTCTATCACAAGTCTGATTTAAAATTTGGATAGGTGATGCATCACAGATTCAGCCTTTTGTTGATACGGTGAAAAGGGGCTGGATTGAGAACACTGCCCCTCTTCTCCCACGTTAGACAATAACAAATGAGAATTTTCATCCTCTTTGATCCATTTTTTTGTTTACCTTGTCTCTATTGTAGAAATCAGTTTGAATTGGAAACCATAATCCATCTTTCATTTGTTGTAATGCCCGATTTCATTTGGCATTCTTTTGATTCTATTGAAACATGGAAATTGACAAGTGGATGTATAAACTAGGCCTAACGGAAGCAGTCACGACCAAAATTGATAGAGCCTATGGCCCTATTGGCATCTTCATATTTCTGTTCATCCAAGTTCAACTTAAAGAGAAGGTTGAGTTCTGGGAAGAGGTGAAAGATATTTGTGAGCGTTATCATTGTTATTATGCAAGTGTGGAAGAACATCAGATAATATATGTTCCCTGAAAAACATGGCTCTTCAAATGCCTTCATATTCTAAATATGACATGTAACAGCATAAAAATTGGGATGGATGTTTATGCCACATGTTTGTGTCGTCCCATGTACATATTTCTTTGTACAGTGCTTGTAACTTTACCAAGACTGGGCCAAATTTCTTATCATTTTTGATGATTCCAGAACCTTGCAGTACACACCAATACTAATATATGCTAGATGATCAACCTTTCCTGATCGATTCCACGCTGTTTCTTTCACAATGCAATCACATGACCAGAACTCAACTATATCTTTAAACTGTGATACTATTATCTTTTATCTAACAAAAAGCATCTTTTCCCCTTTCATTTAACATTTTTGGATATCACTTCTTAATCTTTGAACTATTCATTCAGTCTGTTAGGTAGTGCTATATTTAATCTTACTTCTTTAGGTTTCACCCAAGAGATTTCTAAACTAGAAGTATTTTTGTCAGTCTCTCTAAATACAATAATACATGTAATTCTTCACCTCATCCTTTCTCTCTCTCTCTCTCTCTCTCTCTCTCTCCCTTTCATCCATTTTCTGCCGTTGTCTCTCATCACCCCCTCTACACATTAGTGAGCTTTTAAATCATAAATCGCTTCACGACTGTCTAAATTGTGTTCCTAGTGGCAGCCTTGCATAACAACTTAAAACATCATGATCTTAACGGGTATCCCCAAAGTTTGTATACATTCAACATGAGTCACCTCCAGGAAACACATTAGATTTCATCTTAGTCATAGCCAGGGAAATGTAAACCGTCACATTCCCTCCTTAATGAGTTTCTCCATTATTTCTAGCTGCCACAAAGCTTGCTCTAGCGCTACTGAAGCTTTTTCCCGATGGCACTGCACATTGTATTCGGGCAGGCAATATCAAAATTCATGACAAAAATGGTTAGTCATGGCAGTTTTTTGTATGAATTTATGATCGAGCTTCATATTGTTAGGCTAGTAAAGGAGAGAGAGGGAGGCTTTCAAGCTCGGCCTTCTGTTGGCATCGTCCATATGTTGGAATGATGATTGCTACATGATTTCACCAGAAATGAAAAGCCCAACATAAAAGTAGACCAAATTTTGAGATAAAAGTTCAAGACACCAAATGGAAATGGCTACTACAGAACACATTTGCAGAATGTACATATGGTAGTTTGACTGAAGGTATCCGTAACCCATTGGATAGTGGATAATGTACATGTCCCACGATAGAAACATAGAAATACCTCCTATATTAAAGCAATATTGTATCCAACAGGTTAACTGCCTCTACTCTAGTGAATATGAACTGATGACGACTCATATGAGGATAACTTTAGCCGCCTTTAAAACAAGTATATATTTTTTTCAATTCTAAGTTCCTTTCCTAACAAACCTGTATTTCAATCAACAATATGGTAACAAGATATTAAATCCATGCAGATTACAGAGTATGAAATGAATGAGGGTCTGGTATTCTGTCCTTTTTTAACCTATAAAATATATATTTTGTTTCCTACGTATTAGTTTATTTGCACAATATTAGTTAAGAACAGTATCTATTTAACTGTTAGTGTCTGATCATCATATGGCAGATCATGTCTCTGTATGTAGGTCAGTATCACAATAAATAAAAACACAAATAGATTTAACAGAGAGAGAGAGAGAGAGAGAAAGAGAGAGAGAGAGAGAAAAAAAGAGAGAGAGAAAAAAAGAAAGAGAGAGAGAAAAAGAATCGGAGGGAGTGTGAGAGAGACAGAGAAAGAGAGACAGAGACAGAGACAGTGAGATAGATATATGCCTTGATTGATAGGTGTTTATATCAATAAACAGAAAGCTGGGATTACATGGACCCAGGGCCTATTAACTACAAGACAGCATGGAGTTTGTAATGAGAAATAATACTATTTGCACTCTCTAGTAAGTTAAAGATAAACTTGAGTTCTGGTAAAAAAATAAAATGAATTCTCACAGAATCTAACGAAACTTACACTGAATGTTCAAGATTACAAATAAATGTCATGTGCCAAACAATTTTGGAAGAAAATGTATACTGGCTGAGTAATGAGCATAGAAACATAAGGAAATCAGGGTAGTACTAGCCCCGACACCATGTGTGTTGTCCCATATACATCTATCTGTGTAAGTGATTGTTACTTTACCAAGACTCTGCCAAATTTATGATGATTTTGATGACTCTAGAACCTTGCATTACACACCATTACTTACATGCTATATGATCAACTTTTCTGATCCATTCCACACCTTTTCTTTCATAATGCAATCGCATTACCAGTACTCAAGTTTATCTTTAATGCATGTTTATGACCTTGCAATTGAACCAGTGTTCAAAAGATTATTACAATCCAATCACCACAATGTTTGAAATATTTCAGATATAAATCATAATTCTTAATGGAAAGAAAGGAGAGAATGCAGGAAAGAAATATAAAATAAATGAATCCACATCAAACCGACTAAAAATTAATCTTTTGACCACAAACAGCAATTTTCAGAATCTTTTAGTTTCCTTCCTTTTTGTTTGTGTTTTTGTTTTGTTTTTTGTTTACTGTTTAACGAGTGTTCATACTAAAGCTCTTCAGATTACAAGTGTTCTTTTAAATTTTCCAAAGCTAAATCGCTCTCCAAAAACATGATTTTGTTTTTCTTCTTCACTGCAAAGGAATGGTTGGTAGAATAGATGAATGAAATTTATCTGGTGAGTGAAGGAATAAATTATTGAATGTACAATAGAGTGAATGATGGAACGATAACATGAGTGAATAAATGAACAATGGAATGATGGAAAGATGAAGAGAATGACTAAATGTAAAAATAATTCATGGTAAAATGGTGAAATGACTGACTGTAATTTACTAAAGAATCCATGACGAAATGATGAATAAATATACAATGGAAGGTAAGGCAAAATGACAAAAATGAGGATAACTAAATGTAAACAGAATGAAATTATGGAATGATAATTAAATGTATGATAGAATTCATGACAAAATAATGAAATGAAAGGATGAATGTAAAGTGGAGTGAATGTTGGAATGATCGAGAATTATTATCAAAATGAAGGATAAAAAATCCCTTACCTTGGTATTCCACTCAGGTAGAAGACGAGCTTTCGGAGGTCAATCGGACTGACTTTGTCCAGGGCAGAGCCTGATGGGAAGGCAAGAATAGGGCCCCCTCTCTTGTCTCGACCACCTACATATATATGAGAGACATAAAAGGCAGCAAACAACAGATATCAGATGATTGCGACACAACACATACAGAGGAGATAAAATAAAGAAAGTAAATAATATGAATAATAATACCATATTTGGCATCTGCTTATTTACATGCAGCGCAGGTACTATACAAATATACCCTAAAGATTTTTAATACAGTCAAACCTGCTTTAGTGACCACCTGTCTACAAAGACCACCTGTCTACAAGGACCACATTTTTGTTTCCCTTGAAAATGGTTTCTCATTGAATCATGTACTTAAGGAACCTGTCTACATAGACCACCTGTCTACAAAGGCCACTTTTTGTGTTTCCCTTGGGCGGTCGCTATAGACAGGTTTGACTGTATCAAGTATTAGATTAAGAGAGGATATAGAAAATACATCATAAGAAAAGAAAGAGAAGGAGAGGGGTTTACATGTAGATGGAATTTAAATATCAGAAATGTATATGGAAATATAGAGATTCAGAATCAGATACAGAAAGTTGATGTTGAAAGTAGAAAGCCATAATCATTAAGGCTATTATTGATCAGCAAGCATAATGAGGGGCTATTAGCAGCTCAGTCTGTGCAGGCATTCGCATTTGTACATCAAGCCTTTATAAATAGTCTACATCACAATGTTTGTCCGCTGTTTTTTGCATCACAAGAATCTCATCACAAGCATGTTCGCAGGATCCTGAATCCGTCAATATTGCATTCTGCTTGATTTTTTAATCATAATGTTTATCTTGAACAAATATTATATAATCGTGCTCTCCTTAATTTCCCCATAGAGTACATGCTTGATAATAATGAAAAAAGTAAAAACTCATTAGCCTAAAAAGAGGCCAGATTCACAGATGCATTAAGTATATATTGCAGTCACAGTGTCTATTGACTGCCCCTATTGACTGTTCCAGATTATAATGTGTCGTAGCAGAACTGTATCTACTGTAGTGTGTTAAAACATAGGAGCATAGATTGTCATTTTATGCCTTGCATTTTCTTAATGGGCTTGGGCTGCGTAATTAAAGATGCTGATATTAATTGAAAATTTTTAATGTTATTTAATGTGATAAATTTTCTATCATCATAATCATAATAACCATAGTCATCATTATCACCATTATCATCATTACCAACATTATCATTTCTACTATCATCAACATCATCATCATCATGCTATCACATCATCACCACTACCACAACTATCATCATCATCATCATCATGCTATCACATCATCACCACTACCACAACTATCATCATCATCATCATCATGCTATCACATCATCACCACTACCACAACTATCATCATCATCATCATCATCGCTATTACATCATCACCACTACCACAACTATCATCATCATCATCATCATGCTATCACATCATCACCACTACCACAACTATCATCATCATCATCATCATCGCTATTACATCATCACCACTACCACAACTATCATCATCATCATCATCATCGCTATTACATCATCACCACTACCACAACTATCATCATCATCATCATCATCATCATCATCATCATCATCATCATCATCATCATCATCATCACCACCACCATCACCACCACCACCACTACCATCATGGAAACACTGCAATCATTACCATCACCAATAAATTTGTTTCCTAGAAAAGTTCTCATAGTAAGCATAGCTACAGAACCAAAATGATTATCATCATCATCATCATCATCTTACCCGAGAGGAAAGCTAACTTGTCTCGAAGGAGAGGAAGAATGTCTGCAGCTTTCAGCGCATCACAGTGGAAGGCACCTCCTACATAAAAGAAATAAAATACAAACAATCTTATACTTCATCCAAATGTTAACACATAAAAGGAATATACATATTAATATTCATGTTTCTACTGATTCTAATTATATACAGATAATTATAGAATGATCGCTACTTGGAAAAGTGGAATAATCATCTCCTATTCAAGATGAAATTAGTGAAATATATCAAAGATATTTACTTTTCAAACCAAATATGAGATATATCAAGGTGTAATGTTTTGTGTTGCTGTTGTTGTTGGTGTTTATTTGTTAAATTTATTGGTGTGGACTGTGGATGTGCAATACCTTAGACCTAAAGTTAAATTGCACAATCGCAATATACAGGTAACTGTTCTTCTCCTAGATGTATTATTCCTTGACTAGCCCTTAACAAAAACAACAAAGAAAAAACATCTAAATTGAATATGGAGCCCTACATTTTAAAAAAGAAATTACAACGAAAAGACCCTCCGGTTCTTTTCCTGTTAATTGTTTTAATATGAAGCAGAAGCAATATAAAATTACCTTTCACCTGGAGTAAGAAGGACATTACATTACTACTTTAATATGGAGCTAACACCCTTCTGACACTGAACATTAAAAATATACTTAGTTAATAATAAGACTCAGAAGTACATTAAGATAAAAATCAGCAGTTAATAGCTGCAGGGAAACTACTTTAGCTTTTACAGGAGTGTTCCAGAAAATGCTGTTTTAGTTGTTGGAATTATGTAGCAAAGTCGATTGCTAAACAGCCTTTCATCCCTATGGGTATATCAGTAGCAAACTTATTACGAGTTTGCAGAAGCTCTTTTCTGCATGATTGTTTAACTTGTAATCATCTCTAAAGGAATAATGAATTGAAGAACATTAATTGTCTCAATTAAGAGCTACAAAACTTGGAAGAATAGCATCAACTTTGTTGTTTTATCCTTCAAGACTTCATGGTTAACTTTATAACCAGAACAAAATACATATGTGGGCTGATGTCGATTTGCCCCGAAACCTTAAAGAGCCATCAAAATCAAGAATGTGCTGTAAAACACAGAACTCTACACACATCAGTTTGACAAGAGAGTTTTCCTCACGCCACCTTACCACTTTCTAGCAAATATTTAGTTAGGCATTCCATCTTCCACTCTCTTTTTCAACTAGTTCTTGTAACGAGAAGTTAGCCCTTTTTTAGAATGATTTCAATGAAGCAAGACTGCATCTTATCACTCCCCAATGACACCATCTATAGCCCTAAAATTATCCAGAGACTCCTGGATCTACAAAACCAGTTTTTATTTTCCATAATATGTCAAGATAAGATCATAAACACTCCATAGCAGGCCAACAAAAAGGGTGTATACTTCACCAGGGAATGACAATTCTCTCTTTTTCTCTCTCTCTCTCTCTTGTTCATTGTCAAAATTTATGACCATCGTAAAGTTTAATTGGCTCTCCTCCAGTGCAGATGTGATGAGAGCGCAAAATGACAGCAGATGATATCATATCCATAAAAAACGGTAATCCTGCAGTATATTCATTGTTCATTCCAATATCTTAAGCATTTACAACTTCCATTTCATAATGCTTCCTACATTAGCCAACCAAATATTGACATATATCTGAAAAAGTAATCCAATCTTTACATTTTTCTAAACCCTGTACTCGGTTTTCCAAAGTTGTATCGGTTTGTTATCGTATTAGCTAAATAGTGTGTTGTGTATTGAATATCAATTATGATGACTCCAGTCATCAAACTCAAGCTTTTCCTTTCTTTCGTTGAAGTCACATTTTGTTCCCGTAAACTGGAGCCACACCGCCTTAAAGTGACTCAGTAACATTGCCTCAGATTCTGAAACAAAATCCTAGATTTAGCTCATGCTCAATTATAAACCTTGAGGTCAGTCAGGAATCTTTTCTCTTGTCACATCATGGAGACCAAAACTCTATTTTTTTCTTATCTAGAATTGTGTTCTTCCAACATCTAGTATTGTTGTTTTGTTTTTTTGTTTTTTTGGTATACATGTGACATCAATACTTCCCTGCATGCAAATACTGGTACCATCACCCTCCAACTGTCAAATCTGCTACAGATTGGAACAAGTGTATCCTTGACAACCTCTGATAGCTAGCATGTCATATGTGAGGGTGGGAGGATTTAGGAGCCAGGCTAATAAACTGGATCAGACGTCCACAGATTTTGATTTAGGCTGTTTGGGTATCGAGTCTTATATTTAGCATACAATATACCCTTTTAAAATATATATACCTGTATATAAATAGCCATAAATGCAGAATTTAGCTTTTTCCCTAGGTATGATTTCCTGGAGGCAATCAGTGGGGATTTTGCCCTCTACATGGCATCATAAATCTACAGGGAATTACTCAAAATACAGACAGATAATCACAGATTAAATATTAAAGGTAAACGCGAGTGATTGTGCAGAAACATTGAAATACCGTGGATAAGTATACAGCATAAAAAAACTAATGACATACTTTTACTAAAAGTGGCGGGCACATGCATATGGATGGTAGACTAGAAATGTATCTGTGGTAACATGTTAAATCCTGTGAAATATATGTGAAATATACATATCAACTGAACAATTTGAACAGATGTCGAAGTCCATTTTCGAGAGATATTCAAAATGGATGAGTGACAGCTTCACATAGTAGGTAGAAGTGCATTAACCAGACAGAGCCGGAGGTATCTTCTCTGTGATAACAAGAGTTTGGTTTCTTCTGCCTCTGAGGTTTGGAAGGTTAATACACCCCTAAACTACTTCAAAATGTTGATGCTGGGTGGTGACACATGAGCAGGGGTCGTAGAAAGATAGAACTCCAATTTTGAGTAGTTCAGTCATTTCATCGTTTTACTGAAGATGCTAGTACTTGTTGCATGAAACATATCCTTATTTACTTAACTTTAAAAAATGATTTCTTCTGAGAAAGTGTAAGAACTATAACTATATTTGGCAATCAGTTATTGTTGATTACACAATCCTTAAAAAATTTAAAATTGCAGTTCTTATATGCACAATGTAGGTGAGAGTCTGCATATTATTTAAATTATGCAAAAGCATTTATCAGAAATCAGGACTCTTCGTCTTTCTTTACACAATGGAACCTGCATAATCTGGACTAAAAAATGATTACATGAAAATTCATGTAAATATTAAAGCAAACACTATCCTTTGTCTGTTGTCTTCATTAGCTTCAGGGAACAATTTATTGTACTTACAAAAATTGTACATGTAACCTTCGGTGTAGT